TTCGACAGTCAACAGAATCATCGTTCAGTTCAGGAAACACGGCAAGGAAACAACTGAGCAGCATCAGGGTCATGAATTTGGTAACTGAACACTGCACATTTTACTTGCACTAAAACTATGCTAATAATGTGTGTGATGTATGAATATATATATATATTTCATACAACTGGTTTTATTCTTTTCTTTCAACTTTTACAGTTACTTAGAATTATTTTCTCGTTACAGAACTCATTTCACAGATTTCACTACCCTTCAGCTCTTCCTATTTTCACTGTGTTTCTTTTCACCATGTATACTGATGTATTGTACATTAAAATATTTCTTTAAAACAGGTGGGAAATATTACTTTATATATTAAGCTCCATTTATAATTTAATATTAACTAGTATTTAAAGGGGCTTTTAATTTGTTAATAAAATAGGTTTTATATTCCAATCTTATTTCATTGTTACCCGATTAAAAAGAATAAACTTTAAAAAAATGCATCTTTTAAACTTTTTAAGTGAGGAAGCTAAAATACTAAGTAAAATAAAAAGTGCTTGAACTTTACTATTTAAGAATTATGTATGTAGTGATATAGAAATATTTTACAAATCCAAGAACAATTTTTTTTTACCTGTTGGGAAACTGAAGTGTTCTCATCTTCTCGGCCCATGGATAGCATGGGCTGAGCAGATTTTGTATCACTCAGCGAGCTCTCACTGCTTGCTGTATTGTAGCAATCACAAACTATCATCTGCACTGTTTCTCCAGTATTGTTTAGGGTATGTACCGCTTCTTCGTATGAAGCCCCAATCAATGATACACCATTAATCTGTAACAAATATATTACTGAACTAGAGTATATATTATTATATAGTGCTTAATAGCTTGTCTCCAAATTAACAGCCATGGGTTATTTTATCAGATATATTTGTTGGATTTTCCTTTATAAATAAACTGACAATGAATTTGTTTTGACCTTTTGTTTTAGGTAGCATTTCAAGAGCATGGTTATCCATTTTGTTTTTTCATTTCCTCGACTAGGTATCAAATCCAAGACTTCCCCAACACCCACTGAGTTAAAGGGAGAACCTTTACAGTGTCAGTGGTCTTGGGTTTAGATCTTGCTCGAGGGAGACAGAAAAACAACAACAAATAATTCGATTACCATGGATACATCACCACAAGATATCTGAACCATTTATTTTTAAATAATTTATTTCAAAATTATTTTTTTTTCAAATAACATATTAATCAATCCAAACATAAATAAACTGTAAATATTAAAAGTCTAAATCACCGACTAGAAAAAAAAAAGGTTTGTGCACTTCTTGATCAGTTTCTTACAAGAAACATTTTCTGGATCCTTTTCCATGGTATAGTATACACTTTCTACAGAATCTAAAGACTTTGATACTTGTTTCATGTTTAAAGGAGCAGTATAATGTGCCTTAAGGTGCAGAGCATGTTGCAGCACATTTTCCTAAAGCACAAATTAATATCTTAACTTTCTCTAATTAACATTGCAAGAAAATAAAGTATATTTATGTTTCTAATGTACTTAAACATCGTCAAACAGCCCAGAATAAATAATTTATGAAAATTAGTTTTAAAGATGGTTTCATTCATTTTAACAACGAATTTCTGTATTTCACTTCTGAGATGTACATATCCAGTATTTCCTCAACTCACTGTTGTATGAGGAATCAAATGGTCTTGTTCAACCCCTAATCTGAAATGAACTGGAAGAGATACATACAGTAATTTTTGTTTTGCTTTGGTAGATGAGAAATTTGTTTATAAGCTTTGCCTAAGGCAGTTCCCAACTTTGGGTCCCCCGACCCCTTGGGGGGGGGGGGGTGTCTATGAGCTATTTTCTTCAATTAAGTAATGCATGGAAGGACACAGAATAATAACACGTAAAAAGATGAAACTGTACTATAACTGTCACAATTTTTCTGGCTCTTGAAGTATGTGACAAAAGCCATTAAAACAAGTTAATTATTAGTTAATAAAAACACTTTGTTGGGTAGATGTCATTCTTCAAAAACATGGGGTCTGTGGGGAAAAAAATAAATAAAAGAAGTCGTCCTTGGTGGTGAAAAGGCCATGGTGTTATTGTAATATAATATCTATAGAGATTCTTGTGAAGCCAGTAATCATTGAGAACTGTAAGGACAACAAGCAGGTTTTCTGTCAAGACTGCACATATCTTGGAGGACAGATTCAATGCTTACTTCCAAGTGTAAGATAGAAAAATGCTTACGTGCTATCAGTGCAACAGATGTAATTGCAATCATGACAGGATACCAGTTACAGAGGAAGCAAACCAGAAAAAAAAATGCCAAGCTACATTTTTATTGGTGCTAATAAAAATGCCAAACAGTTAAAGAGAAACTTCCACCTACTGTCCAGGTATGTTCAGAAGATGTAGTAGGCAAGAGTACTTAATTTTGTGTGAATAGAGAACCACTATGACAATAGAAAAAGACACAGAAAAGACTCATCAGACCAAGCCCTACAGATCACTATATTTTATTTGAACTTTTCTGGATCTCATGTGGACCCAACTTTGTTACTAAAATATAAACAAGGGATCCAGTTCACTCAGAGATTTGTTGTTAAAATGTTGTAACTCCAACAAAGAACGAAGAAAAAAAAGATACGTAGTATTACATAAATTGCTCTAAAACCCCTAAGTTTTCAGATATAACTGACAAACCACTCAAAAGTACACTTGAAACTCGTTAAACACTATTTTGTGGTGTGTTGTTTCACAATGGAAAATCTACAGTTCTTTTCACCGTCAAGAAAATCAAAACAGTCACTTTAACAGCTGAACAGGTACCTGATGATGATGTAATCTTGTCGAAAAATTGTACATTTATAATAAAGTTTTCTTCATTATCCATTCAAGCCATCTCCAAACTTTTATTTTCTGAAAAATGGATTCCTCATCATTAAATCTACTATATTTATGTTAATGAAATCTGGCAAGCTTTAAGTAAACATTAAAAGTATGTTGTATAAAAAAAAAATAAGAATTTCAAATAAAGTATTTTGACTTAAGATTTATTTGGCTGTGTATTTGCTCATTTTCATCTGATAGTTTCATATTTCATTCACTCTAGAATCTCTCAAATAAAAATCAAGCATATTGTTTGGTAAAATTTTGTATTCTATCTCTAGTTTTCTTTACTTTAACACTAACTATAGCAAAATCATCAGTAGCAAAAGTTTAAAAATATAAAACAAAATCAAAGGTATGTTTTTTTTTCTAACAAAGTAGCAAATCAATAATCACCCAGTGAAACCTTAGTGCCAGTTATGGGTAAAAAAAGTATCGAGCTACATCATACGACATGGATGGCAACTCGTGTGCATTCCTTGAGAAGAATTCTTTGCATTTAAGTTTCCTCTTTATCTATCCTAATAAAGTTCTAATTTTTACAATTTAGCTATTTTATTTAAAAAATACATAACAATAAATAAAAGATATTCATAAGAACCAGGAAATTTTATACTTACTTTAGCCTTGAGGCCTTTAGCACTCGGGTGCATGGTTTAGTAAGCATATTTATTTTTCACTATGTTGATTGTCCAAAAATAATTAACGTAGCTTTCAAATGTCTATTTTAGAACACCATAAAATACATCAGAAATAAGATAAGAATATCCAAAAACTGCTATAATTTATCTGGCTTTCTAACTAACCTATAAATAGATTTAAAAAATATCATTACTTCATGAAGCAACATCTTCAGTTCAAACACAATGAGCCTCATGGAGACATATTAGGCTTTATCACTAAAACAAGAGAAACAATTACATAGTGTAGATAGAACTTGCTTTTTATACTGATTATAAGCACATCCAATAGAGGATATGGGAAGGGTGTATCAATTTGACTTGAGCAAGTAAAGTGATATCTCAGTAAAGCAAGAAGACCTTGAAATTTTACATTCTGGCTTGTCAATATCTATAAGCACGTGTTTCCAATTGGCTGAGAATCTGAAGCCCTTTTAAGGGAAGAGAAAAAAAAAGTCTATAAACAAGAAGTGTTATGACTGAGAGTACAAACTGAGGATATATTTAAATATTTCCTTTAAAAATAAAGATATGAAAACTTGTATACAAATTTGAGTTATATACAATGTTTAGATGCCAAGTTTACTTACATGCATTAAAAATAAAGTAGTTTAACTCCATCATCTCCACCCATATACTTATGCATGCTAGACATCATCTCCATCCATATACTTATGCATGCTAGACATCATCTCCACCCATATACTTATGCATGCTAGACAGTCTCCACCCATATACTTATGCATGTTAGACATCATCTCCACCCATATACTTATGCATGCTAGACATCATCTCCACCCATATACTTATGCATGCTAGACATCATCTCCACCCATATACTTATGCATGTTAGACATCATCTCCACCCGTATTTATATAGATACGTCATTTAAGTGCTTCGTGCATGATTTGTTATGGTCAAAGTGTTGCTAACATGATAGAAGTAAACCCATGGATGATAAGGGGTTAATTGAATTTTAAATACTAAACTCTTGTAAAAAGGTACAGGACATGTGAACTTTGACCCATAGGATTAAAAGAGTT